ATCTATGTAAACAAACCTCATCACTTGAGAAGGTAGGTGATGCGGATGTCGTGGAAGACATTTTGTCCCGTAACGCTCGCCGTACTGTTGGGGGGGAGAAGCGGTGGCGGGGAGATGTTCATGTTGCTGCGGTCTGCAGTCTGACCGCTAGATGTTCAGAGTAGTATGGACTCATAAGTAGAGCAGGAATTGTGAAGACAATATGAAGAAAAAGCACTACTATTGATAAATTAATTTACTGCTTCATATCCCTTTTCAGACATAAGCAGTAAATTATACACATAATGTTATAAATACTATGAATTGAACATGATATTTGAAAAAAATGTACTCATTAATTTATTTATAAAGTTTTGGTAGATTTTAACTCAAACTCAAAAACCTTGCAAAAAATGTTCTTAACCTTGCAACCGTTTACCTTAGTCTAGACCTAAGAAAAGCAGGGGGGAGGAGACCAAATCAAGTGAACCATTTTGGACCGTTTCACTTTTTTCCACCCCTCCATTCATACATTAGTAACCACCTTTAGTTGCTCCTTCATGTGGTTCTTACTATATCTAGCTGCACTGAAACACAACTTTAGAGGTCTGTTGGTCATTAGTTAGATAGGGGGTGGTTTCACTAGTTATTTCTAATAATTTATAGTGCAATAACTGATATATTGATGCATTAAATCAGTTTAAACTCACTTATCACTTCTAACCACCGTTATAGCAAACAAGCAACAATTAGCATTAGCTTGAGCATAACCTCACATTTGCTGTAGCATCTATCCTTCAGTTAGATCCCACCCTGCTCCTCTCCGTCTCTCCGGTTAATAACCAGGGTGCTTCATCCAGCTGTCCACGGCCCTCCTTAAAACCTACTTTGACTCCTCACAACAGCCATAAATGGAGCAGCAGTCTAGGTGTTGTTGTTCTGGTGACTCTATAAATCACACGACTTGCAACTGCCTTGCTATTGAAGATCCAGCCCCCATTGAGACACATGGAAAATGAATCAAACCGAATTGAACTGCCCTGTCCTGACCTGAATAAATTATGTACTAATGGAAAAGAGGCATTAGTGTTGCTGTCATGCCCGTAGTAGCTTCACTGAACAGGGTCCTGCTTGGATTTTTATCAAATCTGATGAGACTTCCAGTTTAAAGAATGTCGCTGTTTCCTAGTTTGGTCATAAAAGCTTCTATTCTGTCATAAAATGTCAAAACATTCAGAAAGCCGTGTCTATATTTCGTTTTGGAATAATTGGAGAGCCTTTAATACCAAGAAAAACTGCAAATGCTGCGACCGATTTCATTTTTTTGAAGGAACAGTTTAAAGCAATTAAATACCACTTTAACCAGATTATTGTAACTTATATTTTTCCTATCCAGTACGTTTTGTTTTTTGGTTAATTAATCAAGGATAAATGTTTTAGTAAAGATGAAAAAAAAGGAATTGATAAGGCATCATTTATCATGTCACACAAACCCGTTTGTTAACCTCTCCACACACTTTGAACAAATACATGCAAGAAGAAAAGTTCACGGACATTGAGGGAAGACTTTTGACATTTAATCTATTATATAAAGTAATATAAGCCTAGTGATATCACACAGATGTAAACTGAAACATCCAAATGATGGAGGACCTCTAAGAAAACCATCCTCCACGCCTCCATCTTCATTTCTAGTGTCTGTGCTGAAACCTGGGAAAGCTCCCAGTCAGCGTTTCATGGCGTATTAATAAAAACTCCCTCAGGTTTAGAGCCTTCTGAGGGCGCTGGGAGAAAATAACATGTGTGTCATGTAAAACTAAAGCATCTGAGAGAGTGAGAGCGATGAGGAGAGCTTGTGTTCAGCGGGCGTGCAGCGAGCCACAGACCACAGAGCTCTCGAAAGCATCAAACCATCAAAACAAAGCCGCTGTCTGGAGTACCACCGGAGTGGACCGCTGTGAGTGTGTCTGTGTGTGAGTGCTTTACCTCTTGAGGTTGAGCAGAGCCCAGGGGATGCCTGTGGGCGTTTTGAAGGCTGGCAGCAGCTTTTCACCCAACTCTATCGCCTTCTTACGGAACACCTGAGAAAAAAGGAAAGCGTTTTAATATCAAACGGTCTTCGCCAAGAGACACATCGGTATTTTCTCTAGGAACCTTTTAAGAAAACAGCAACAACAACCTGAGAATATACGTGATAATAAATAGATAGAAACCCATTTCAGAGGGTCCACACATTGCTAAGAGAGAATAATATGGAGAATTAAGTTGTTAAGATTGTGTTATGTATTCCTGTTAATCAGTGTGCCCATAAGCTGTCATTCATAATCCATTTGTTCGACTGATGCACAAATATGTCATGGCACAGAGGAGCATTTCTCTTCTAAATTATTTCATCAAAAAGACAAAAACCATCTCAGCAGGGCAGGATGTGTCCAAATCATCACACATCAGAAATGACAGATAAAGCAGGATGACAAGGTCATACAGGAGCCCGGGTTTAGGATCCAGGTTTGCTAACATGAACAGTCAGGTGAGTAGAAGAAATAAAAGCAAAATCTCTATGGCTTACTTATTTGGGGCACACCAAGGTTGCAATATTAAGGAAATTTTGGGGGTCATGAGTCGATTCTGCCAGCATGTTCTGCTCTAAGCTACACTTTTAAATTGGCAGGAGGAAACCTTGCTTTTAAATGATGAGGATAAATGTTGCTTTATTGGTTATTTGGTTTGTTCTTTATCCCTTTAGTGAATAACAAAAACCAGGCAAATATGTCAGACATCGCCTTGACGTCAGCATGTGCAGTTTTAAAGGTGATAAAATGAAGTCTTTATGTAAAATAACCTTCAGATCTGATTCAAAGCTGACTGCAGGAACGCCACACTGCTTTAAATAACCTCATGAATATTCAAATGAAAATGAGCCTAAATACACCTGGCTCTGCACAAAACTGGGTGGTGATGTCCTACTAAGATGAGTGTGTGTAGTACGATCGGCAGGCAGGGTTTACCTCCACAAGGTATAGAGCCAATTAAGTTCAGAAAGAAACATTAAACAGCCACAATGATCTGATGTTAAAGCAGTTCTGAAGATTTTGTCTCCCCCAACGGACAAAAGCTTTATTCTTTTCCCCGAAGACAGACAACGTTCCAACGAGGACCAGCATGATAAAGACTAGGGCTGCAACTAAGGATTATTTTGCAAATAGATAAATCTGAGGATTATGTTTCGATTAATCAATTAATAATCGGATAGAAAAAGGTTCCTTAAAGAAGACTTTTTTACATATTAAACCAGATGAAACTAAAACGTTTCCACTTCAGGAGTTCTAGATAGAGCATATTGACAGATGGAAATGTTATTTATCCTAAATGCAAAAAGTTTACATAGTTTTTTTTACAATTTTGGTACAACTGCTGCTCAAGGTGGGTCTGTCAGCTAAAGACATTCAGCTAAAGACCATTAAAGGATTACTAAATAAGTTAACAATTATTCCAATAATTGATTCATTGCGATTATTCCGATTAATTGTTTCAGCCCTAGTAAAGACTAGAGTAGGGATGCACGATAT